CAATTTAAATAATTGGAGTACAGCTGTTCTCTATACTAACAGCTCTAATTAAGTATCGTTGCATCAACTTTTAAGGAATAACTTCAAAAACTTTATGAATTTCCGTTTGACCCGTTGACCCGGGTTATAAACCCGGGTCGGTATTTTCTGACCCGGGTAAGAGCTCTATTTATAAATTTTTGTTAAGCATGTAATATGATTAAGAGAAATAAAATTATTTTGTGTTTTATATATCATGAAGATTATATTTGGATATCCCTAATAACAAATATTTGTTTTATTTAACTGTAACGCGCGATTACTTATTGGCAATGATGATCGGTGTTTTTTTGTAAGGTTAGCAATACAAAAACATATAATAGCTACGTGTAAATTAGAACTCTATCGAAACAAAATTATGTTACGTATCACAATTCTTCGAAGTAAACTTGCTACAATGAAATTAGTTTTACAAAGCGTTTTTACAAATATTCAGTCTACTTAAATTCATGGTAAAAATAATAATAATAACCATGTAAGATAATGTGTCAAGCTTGTACACCATATAGCATTCCACGGCAATAATGCCAAAGAGGTTCAAAAAAGTGTCAAGCTTAAATCTCATAACGTCATAGGTATATGATATATATATTTCATATTAAAGAAATTCAACCGTGTATTTTATAGCACGTCGATCTCGTTAGCTGTTTAGTTACATTGTAATTGGCTCTTAAGATTGTCAATATAATGATGGTATAATTATCTGTATTTTTTGTGTTGCTGAGGTTCTTAAAAAACAAGTAACGTTCGCAAGGTTAAAAATTAGATTTAGTCAGATATTTATCAGCCCATTCATATTAATATGTGTTTGAATAGAAATAATATGCGGTTCTGCAGATACGAATGTGAGCCAGGTTATTGAAGTAATAATCAACCATCGTGATCTGTATCAATTAAATTTAAGCGCAATTAATATCTGATATTAGATCTCTGTTATCACTTTATAGACAGTAGGTATAAATGTACATTCATTCGTAGAAACTCTTTTTGAATGAAAATTTTCGCTTCGTACTTAATCAACCGTCCTGTGCTTCGTAGGTTTACTATTTTCTGTTCTGAATTGTAGATATGACGGAAATATATGCATGTATATAGAATATGTGCTGTACGAAATTACAGTAATTTCGAAAGTATCGTATGTATAGTCATCAAAGCTTATTAAATCTTAACAGTGAACCACTTTTAATGGTTAGATTAGGAAGAGTGTTGTTTTATTATTTTTCGTGTTAAGATTCAGTATACATAGACTAGACTATAGGAAAAGCTTCTTTTATTTTAAGAATTTTTTATAAAGTGTCTTACTATATGCACTATATTTGATTTTGGGATTAATTATCCAAAACTTAAGTCAATATCTCCTCATTACTACGCGTATTTATTAAAAACTTTGGTGAGTTAGAACTATCAAAAATTTTAATTCGAATAACAATATTGTATACTAAAAAAGTAATAAAGAAGGGAATATACTTTTTTGGAAATAAAAAAACAGTGCTTTACACGTAACATAAAATGAGAATCGAATATTACGGTAGATTACGTAATGAGATCTAATTATGGAGTAGATTAATAGTTTATCACTTTGTGCGATGTCAACTAAATGACAGACTGGTAAATGAACCTAATTATGGTAAATAGAATCAATGAATATGCAACACAAGTTAAACAATGTTTTCGAATTACAGCAATTTTTCTGAGGGATCATTATGTTTTCACAGTTTGTGCTTAATAGGATAGTTCAAAGCAAGCATAAGAGAAATAATTTGGTCACTAAATACTTTGCGATAAGTCTATTCAGTTACGCACACTTTTGCTTTTCTGTGAAATTTGTTTTATTACATTTACAGATTGATGCTCTATTAGAATTTACCATACCTAATAAATAAATGTGCAGTAAGTACAGTATATACGATTTTAATGGAATAATTAACAACGAGAAAAAATCTTTAATTATTGAAACAAAGTAAATATTTCTAATTTTTTTCTCTAATTCTGGCCTAAATGAAGAACCTGTTATTTAGTCCTAAAGCCAAGACTTTGTAACAGGATGACTGGAGAATGATAACATAAACTCCGATCAATTTTAATAAATATCGTTGTATTTTTAATAGACCCTTTAGTTTTTTTTTTAAAAAAAAAAAATTGTATCAAAACTATCTATAAAACCTTTAACTTTAATGGAGAACGAACAAAATGGATATATGTCGGGAGGAGGGAGTCCCTCGAATTACAATGGACAATATTCACACAATCATCATAATGATGATAATATAGAATCAGAAAAAATTACGGGAAGTTTATAAGAGATTGTCAAATACCTTCTGATATATTAAATTATTGCAAATATAGGGATAGTAAAACTAGAGAATTCACACACACAAGATATACTGCTTGTACATGTGATCCGGACGATTTTTTAAATGAAGGATTTACACTTCGTCAAAAAGAAGATGGCAGACAGATTGAATTATTCATCGTGGTCACTATATATGATGTAAGAATAAAGTCTCAACTATAAACTCTCAATGTTCATATTATTACCATTGATAATATATACTTAATAGGAAGATGTAACTGAATTGTCTCGAACTTTAAACGGGATTGTGGAAAATATTACATCTCTTTGTAAACGATCAGGCAGAATTTGGGTATAATATATTTTTTTTCTTGTAGCTGGTCTAATTTCTTACTTAAGCAAATTAGAACAATTGTTTCTTTATTCAAATTCTATAGAATGAAAATAGTTGGAAAAGGTTGTCGTGTGTATAGTATCTGATGGCCGTAAAAAATTCCATAAAAGTTGTTTGGCTTATTTAACAGCACTTGGTGTTTATCAAGATGGTGTTGCAATCAAAAGTATAAATAAAAACAAAGTTAAAGCTCATATATTCGAGTTTACAACCCAAATTTCAATATATCAAGATATGGAACCTAAGCCACTAGATGTTCCAATTCAAGTACTTTTTTGTCATAAAGAAGTGAATGCCAAAAAAATCAATTCTCATCGGTGGTTTTTTAATGCTTTTGGTCAAGTTCTCGAACCTAATATATGCATTCTTATTGATGTTGGCACTAGACCAGGTTAGAGAAAATATATAAATTATGATCAATGGTTTTTTATTTAAAAAAATTCCATTGATCTTTTATGACCTTTTAATCTTTAAATAAAAAATAGTTTCCTTTATTTAATTTTGTTAATTTGAACTTTTTTGAAGGAGATAGCTCCATATATAATTTATGGGAAACATTTGATTCACATCCTTATGTTGCTGGTGCTTGTGATGAAATCGTTGCCATGACGACTTGGTACAAATTACTAAATCCGATTGTGGGAGCTCAATATTTTGAATATAAAATGTCAAATATTCTAGATAAACCACTTGAATCTGTATTTGGGTATATTACCGTCTTACCTGGTGCCTTTTCTGCTTATCGGTATGACGCTCTTCAGAATACTATAGTTAATGGTGAACCTGAGGGTCCCCTTGCTTCTTATTTCATGGTGAAGAAAAAAATGAAAATGATTCTGAAGGTGAAAAAAAGGATGGTTCTAATAATGAAAAGAAGAATAACAAAATTACCCATAATAAAAAATCCAATAGTAACATCTTCACTGCCAATATTTTGAATTGGTTACAAAACGTGACGAACAGTACTTGTTACATTATGTTAAATCTTCTCAAGCTGATACGGACATACCCAAAAGTATAGATAAACTAATTTCCCAGCGTAGACGTTGGTTAAATGGTTCTTTCTTTGCTAGTCTTTATGCTGTTTCACATTTTTATTATATTTTGAGAAGTGATCATTGTATTGGACGCAAATTCTTTTTATTTATTGAAATGATATACCAAGCATACAACCTTTTCTTCTCATGGTTTGCATTGGTAAATATAATTGATTTATTATTTTAGCTTTACTAATTAAAAGCTTCATTCTTCTCATTATATATTTTATATTGTGTCTTTTATTGCAGGGAAATTTCTATTTAACGTTTCATATATTAGGAACTACTCTTTATACCCCTCTAGAGATGTTTCCAATTCCTTTGAACCAAACAATCAGTGAAAATATATTCATTGGGATTAGATGGGTTTTTTTTGCGTCGATATTTGTACAGTTCATTTGTGCCATGGGCAATAAACCTAAAAGGTGAATACATATTACTATTATTGTTTATTTACATTTTGCATTCTAATTTAACCTTTTTTTTAAATACTGTAAATAGTTCTAAATTTGCCTATAATATTTCATTGATATTCTTTTGTTTGGTTATGATTTATACATTATTCGCTGGGTTTTGGCTTACTATTAATGGTATTATATACAGCATAGAAAATTACCCAGGCATTATAGGTGTTCTTAATGATAATATTTTCAGGAACACTATTCTCGCCTTAATTTCTACATACGGATTGTACTTTATCGCAAGTTTACTAATGCTTGATCCATGGCATATGGTTACTTGTATAATCCAGTATATTCTATTGGTACCATTTTATGTAATTATTCTAAATATTTACGCTTTCTGTAATGTCCATGATGTAAGGTAATGTACTTTATCTGCTTAAATTGAATTATATACATGTATGTACGTTAATTAAATTTTTTTTAAAATATAATTTATAGTTGGGGTACCAGAGAAGAAGATGAAGATAATAAATTGAATAAAGTAACTTCTCGTAAGAATGAAGTACAAGTCACTTCAATAGATGTTACTGATGGATATGGTCGAGCCTGGGGCACTTTAGAACGTCCTAAAGAAAATAAACCTAAAAATATGGGTATAATATCTGAAGATGAATATAGAAAAAGATTTCGAATTTATCTTGTACTTTTATGGGTCTTATCAAATACGATATTAGTAACTATTGTCATTGGTGATAACCAACTTTTAATACAATATGTATCTCAAAGTTTAAGAATTAATACTTATGTAACATTTATTCTTTAGTCTGTTACCGGATTAGCTGTATTTAGATTTTTTGGTAGCTTGGTTTATTTTATTCTTGAATTGCCAAAAACATTAAAATCAAAACTAGCACCTAAAAGATCAAGAAGGAAGAATCCTATAAACAACGTATAAAAATATCATTGTACATATAGGACTGTTAAATTCAAATTTTGTTTGTAAAGTTTCATATTTAATTTTATATTTAATAAATAGTTTAATTCAAAAATAAATTCCAGTCTTAAGTATTAATAAACTATTTTATTACAGTAGATTATCATCAATGCAGTATTATATAAAACTTCTTTAGTAAACTTACTCCGTAAGGCAATCGCTATTTACTCAAAATTTTGTTTCAAAGATTGTGTTAGTCTTTTTTTAATATTCGTCTGTTTTAACTAAAGTAAATAATTTTACAGAATTAATGAAGTTCGAATATACACTGTTATTTCTTTTTTTTATAATTGTTTGAATTAATTCTTGATTTTGAATTTCAGAATAGCTGCTTGTAGAATTTTCTCGATTAACATACATTTCGAGCCATAAGTAACGATTTATATTGTCATTAAAAAAGAAAAATTATGAGGTACTTAAAGAGAAATTAGCCTTTTTTTTTTTATACATAAGATGCGTTATTCATTAAAGCTGCTACATCTCTTAAATGTGTACCAGATAGATGGTGCA